ACTTCAACATTTTGCACCTTCAATTGATCAATGGCTGTGCGAAGAGTTTTATCACAGTTCAAATTATTTTCTTCTAAGTTTAGCGTTCGTAACTGTTTTGGCGTTTGTGTGGCAAACTTATCGATCGTTATGATGTGATTACGCGTCAAATCGATAGCTTGCAATCGTGGCAGTGCACGGTAGTGTACCGGTAAAAGTACGTTAATCTGCGCACTAGCCAAACTGAGTGTCTGCAGTGATTTGCTACGTAAGAATGGTTCATTGGCCAATGAGAAAAAATTATTGCCCTCCAAGTTGAGGGTGTCTATCTTACGATTTGACTCGAAAATCCGCGGATCGATGAACTCCAGACGATTATAGGAGAGGTCTATAGCGCGTATGCGCTTCAATGGTACAAACGTGTCTAAGAAAATGGTGTGTATGGCATTGTGCCCTAGCGTTAGGTTTTTGAGGTGAACATAACCCTGAAGAGATAAAGAAAATGCTTGAAGATTTTAAGATTTATAAGCAAAATTTTGTAAATTTACNGATCACAGTTCAAATTATTTTCTTCTAAGTTTAGCGTTCGTAACTGTTTTGGCGCTTGTGTGGCAAACTTATCGATCGTTATGATGTGATTACGCGTCAAATCGATAGCTTGCAATTGTGGCAGTGCACGGTAGTGTACCGGTAAAAGTACGTTAATCTGCGCACTAGCCAAATTGAGTGTCTGCAGTGATTTGCTACGTAAGAATGGTTCATTGGCCAATGAGAAAAACTTATTGCCCTCCAAGTTGAGGGTGTCTATCTTACGATTTGACTCGAAAATCCGCGGATCGATGAACTCCAGACGATTATAGGAGAGGTCTATAGCGCGTATGCGCTTCAATGGTACAAACGTGTCTAAGAAAATGGTGTGTATGGCATTGTGCCCTAGCGTTAGGTTTTTGAGGTGAACATAACCCTGAAGAGATAAAGAAAATGCTTGAAGATTTTAAGATTTATAAGCAAAATTTTGTAAATTTACCTGAAAGCTGGCATTGTCCAGTACGGTAATATCATTGTAGCTTAAATCCAAGGACTCGACTTGGTATGGTACAGCAGTATTTGCACTTATTAGATATTTTGAGCTGAAAAAAAAAAATACAATAAAAAAAATAATAAAATAAGATCAAAGAAAATATTGTAAAATAAAAGGAATAAAAAAAGTAAAAATGAAATGAAATGCAAATTGAATAAAATAAAATAAGTTAAAACAGAACTGAAACAAATATCAGATGAAATATAATACCTAATATAAAATGCGGAGTGATAATCAATGAATAAATAACAAAAACGTTCTGAAAAATAAGTAACTTTACTTTAAAAAAAAAAATATACGTGAGTCAGAATTTCTGAGCTTCCCAAAGAGGAGAAGGTTATGTATAACACATAAAAACAAATAACCCGGTGAGGGCACGCTGGTTTCAGATGCCCTTGACCAAAATAAGTCCGAATGCGCTCGTTGCATTGAGCGTCAGCCTTCAACTAAAAATAACAGTTTTCCACGTTGCGTTCCATTTTTTTCTCAAAGTAAAGATTTTTCTCAGAGTAAAATTTTGCATATGTGGTTTTTTTTCTGTGTTAAAAAGTGGCGGAGAAAACTATTATTTTTATATTTTTACCAAAAATTTTATGACAAATTTACCCTTAAACATTATTTTAAAATAAATAAAACCTATGTTTTTGAAGAGTTTTTAATAGTAATGCAAATGACGGTTGAATTGTCAAAATCAGTCAAAAAGATTGTTTGTAATTTCCACGTAACAGAAAAAAGTATAAAGGTCCAAATAAAGATTTCCATCACTTAAAAATATATATTTTTTTNCAGTGATAATCTATGAATAAATAACAAAAATGTTCTAAAAAATAAGTAACTTTACTTTAAAAAAAAATATACATGAGTCAGAATTTCTGAGCTTTCCAAAAAGGAGAAGGTTATGTATTTGCGGGATTGTTTTTTTTTTTTGTTTATATATGTTACCACGCAACTTTGAACCACGTTAACCGCTTACTATAATTCTTTTTTTAAAGGAAAGGTGTTTTCCTCACAGGTGTGCCCATACTAGTTTGGTTTAAATATGATCATTGGATCATGAAGATATCAACGATTATCTTACATTTTTATTTAAGAATTGAAGTCGGTTTTGTTTTTTTCTTAAAAATTACTTGTTTACTTAAATCTACCTCTGTTTATTTTAAACTCAGTCACATGAAAACAAATAAACTGGTGCGCTGGTTTCAGATGCACTTGACGAAAATAAGTCCGAATGCGCTCGTTGCATTGAGCGTCAGCCTTCAACTAAAAATAACAGTTTTCCACGTTGCGTTCCATTTTTTACTCAAAGTAAAGTTTTTTCTCGGAGTAAAATTTTGCATATGTGGTTTTTTTTCTGTGTTAAAAAGTGGCGGAGAAAACTATTATTTTTATATTTTTACCAACAATTTTATGACAAATTTACCCTTAAACATTATTTTAAAATAAATAAAACCTATGTTTTTGAAGAGTTTTTAATAATAATGCAAATGACGGTTGAATTGTCAAAATCAGTCAATAAGATTGTTTGTAATTTCAACGTAACAGAAAAAATTATAAAGGTCCAAATAAAGATTTCCATCACTTAAAAATATATATTTTTTTTTATTTAGTAAAAAAGTTATTCAAACCCAAAATAGGATGGGATATTTTGGCACCACCTTGTACATATCGTTTCTTTAATACAGAAAGGTTTCGTTAAAGAGTGATTAAAACCTCTAAAATAAAATAAAGTTTTTAAGCCGCTGTGGTGTAGTGGTAAGCAGTGCGCGCTTCCACTCCGCAACGCCTGGGTTCAAGCCCTGGTCAAAGCAACATCGCAAAAAATATAGAAAAAAGGTTTTTTTCTTAACAGCGGTCGTCCCTCGGCAGGCAATGGCAAACCTCCGAGTGCATTTCTGCCATCGAAAACGCCACAAATCGGAGGAGAAGCTCGGCCAAACACTAACATATGTGTAAGCGCCAATCTATTATTATTATAAGCCAAAAATTTCTTTTAAACGCTGTATTTTTTAATGTCGCCACCTCCTAGGCTGGTTCTATATCGAAAAAATATACACCTGTTGTTTTAGGGAGTGCTCAAAGCGCTCAAAGTTTCCACGTAGAAATGTTTAGTGTAGAAATCTTGAAAATCAATATTTTTCGATCACTCATCTTCAGGAGATTCCCAGAAATAATGCCTAGTTGTTTCTCAGGTTTAAGGAAGTCTCCTGAAGAGAACCACAGTATTCCGATCGAAAAATATTGATTTTCAAGAGTTTTATACCATTTCAACGAAAAGTTGCTTTTCCCCATATAAAGTACATGGAAAACTCCCTAAATATTTTTACGGCTCAATTTTTTCAGTTCAGAGGAGGTGGCGGCATTAAAATTATTATTTTTGGATCACTCTAATGCACATACATAAAAAAATTGTTTTTACCTGCAATCGGCGTGGTTAAGATTATTCCTTAAATTACAAATGCAGTAAATAGGACAGATTTTCGGCGGTTCACACTTTCCCATTTGCATAAATAACATATGCACGAGTATGATATTGCCTAAACAAAGATAGGTAATATCTTTAGAATAAGAATACCACATATTTCGCAATGATTTTGCTGATCTTCTACAACCGGCTCTGAATTAAATATCACATATATTTCTTAAATATTGTACCAATATTAACAAAACCAATATTAATTAGATTTAAACATCTACAGATTTATTCTGTGAAAGTTTTTCACTGCTCTTAATTGTTTCGATATTCGAATTGTACTGAGAGACATACCGCACTGAAATGGAATTCTATGAATCATTGCAATACCCTACGTGAACACAATGGGGTAATTTAGTTTGAAGCAATTTAGTAGAATGCACGAGTAACTCTATACTGGCATAAGCATATCAATGTTAAGGTTTTGCGCGCAATGAAGTGATCCGAATATCTGATGTTTGACTGTCGCACATTCGCTTATCAGCCGTGTTTGTTTAGCTCAGATAAGATATTATGTTATCTTTCGGTAGTGAATGTTCATTGTTTATTTTCGAAAATTCGGTATTATATTCACATACGTTTAACAGGCAGTGAATAAAGCAGACCGGTCGTCAAATGTATCAGGGAGTCAAGAAAACGGCCCTTAGACGTCATCTTAACAGTTCACAGAGAGAGAGAGAGACAGAGAGAGAGATGATTACACAAGTTTGGCTTGCTGAATTGTAATACATGTTGGACAACTTTTTGGAAATCCCCTTTTTTAATTATTATGTTATCTGGCTGTCCGATGCACCTTTATACCAAAATTAAGAAGCCATATCTTAAGCAGGAACAAGATTTATTGGCATCTTTAGAACAGGGGATTTATCCTGAATTGCGATTCGAAGAGCAATGAATTTGTATTAGTCCGTGTCACCTTTCTAATTGCATTGAATTTCTAATCGCAATACAGAGGTTCATAGAATAGAAGGTTACGACATGGTGCTGTCAAAAATGTGTGTTCACCCAATGACGTAGTTGTGAAGTGAGTTCTGATTGGCTGAAATATTTTACGAAGAAGGAGAGTACACAAAACGCAGAAACTATAGCTGCCGTATAGCATATTTTAGGGATCCTAATCAAATGGGCATTTTTGATATAAAATCGTGGCAAAGCTTATTATAAAAACATAAAATGTTATAACTTCACATGAAACTGGGTTAACATACTAATGGTGACAACTCAAATGTAAATCGAATGCAAATTGAAATTTGCTGTTGATTTTATTCTTGAAAGTGATCAGAACGCATTCGCGCATTTTTAAATAAAAAGCGTTCATAACATTGGCAAAATTTCGCTACCGAAATTGCAATTCATCTTTAGACATACGGTAAAACCTAAATTACATTTTTCAGTGTAATTTTTGCGATCAAAACAGCGCACTTAAATTTTTAATAATTTAAATAAACTCAAAGACGCAGAAAAAAGAACAAACTTCAACGCAAATTGTCAAACGGTAAATATCAGGCTTACACATATTTGAAATAAAACTTGATGTATTTTTAACTAAAATATGGTATTTTTATAAGATAATTTTATAGGGATCTGGCAACTCCAAAAATTAAGCCATCTACGTCATCATGATGGCGGCCATAGCTGATGTCTTAACCTTGTATTCTATGAACCGTGGAGTAGACCCCCTGCTCCTTAAATATTTCCTATGTAAATCGGAACAGTGTGGTAAGTATTTAATGCGGAATTTCAAATTTGTTAAAAATTGTTGTTTTCCTTGATGCTGACGATGGATTGTCCAATCTTTATCTTAACTCTCGGTGTGGGTAAAATTTTCGCTAACCCAGCGGAAAATGTGTAACTGGCTCTTGTATGGCCGAGCTAATTAACCGTAATTGCTCCTTTACACAAAATATGAACGTTCAAGGCTATTTGTGGAGCATTTTGGGAGTAGTTAGTGGTCATTTTGGGATCTTTTCTGGACATTTGGGACAAATGAGGGACCATTTCGGGACAAGTTCACGACTTTTTCGACCGTTTAGGGGTCTGTTCAGAACTATTTCGGGGCAATTTTGAGAAATACAGTTGCCCTTTTCCGATATAAATTTTTAGAAAGATGATTGTATTCTTCTGAATTGCATTTGGTCTTTTCTGAAATACCCTTAAGCTTTTCTGAAATTCATTTGACCTTCTCTGAAATACATTTGTGCTTTTCTGAAATACTGCTGGAAAAGATGTGGTAAAGAACTAGTGTCAAATGGTCCTAAATTGCCCATTAAATAGTCCAGAGAGTATTTCA